ATCTCAGGTCTTCATAGTCATCAGAGAGTTCACATGCGAAAGGACTACTATATGCTTGATGAGTATGGTAAGGAAGTTAGTCAAAGCTCAACATCTGCAAACTCATCTGAATGCCAATACTGTAGAGAAACCACACAAATGTGAGGAACGTGGGAAACGCTTCAGGCACAGAGCAGCACTTAATGTTCACTGCAGAGGACACACAGGAATGAAACCTTTTAATTGTGACGAATGTGGGAGGGATTTTATGTATCCTTCACATTTACAGGAACAGTAGAGAATCCATAATGGAGAGAGACCATTCAAATGTGATACATGTGGTTAAGAACTTTCATCGTAGAGCAGCACTTAATACTCATTGCATGGTGCATACAGGAGAGAAACCTTACAAATGTGAGGAGTGTGGGAAGGGCTTCAGGCAGGCTACACATCTTTTGACCAATCAGAGAGTCCACAGTGGAGAAAAACCATTTAGTGTGAAGGGTGTGGGAAGTACTTCAAAAGTAGATCAAATCTTCGTAGAATCCACATAGGCGAGAAATCCTTTACAGAGCTGGAGAAAAATGTAGAACAAAATTCTAACTCACAAAAAAAGACCAGACTTACTGGCCTGACAGAGACTGGAGAAACAATAAGAGTATGGCCCCCAGACACCCTTTTAGCTCAGTAATGAAGTCACTTCTGAGGTTCACCCTTCAGCCAAAGATTAGACAGACCTATAAAACAAAACAAGACTAAAGGGGCACACCAGCCCAGGGGCAAGCACTAGAAGGCAGGAGGGGACAGGAAAGCTGGTAATAGGGAACTCAAGGTCGAGAAGGGAGAGTGTTGACATGTTGTGGGGTTGGTACAGTGTCACAAAACAATATGTGTACTGTTTAATGAGAAGCTAGTTTGTTCTATAAACCTTCATCTAAAGTACAATTTAAAAAAAAATGTTCTGCATTCACAGATGTAAGAATCCTGTTTGGCTAGAAATATCCCAGAATGTGAGTGGAGGCAAGTAAGTTCTGAATTCAGACTTAACTAATAACAATATTAATGGTTATTTCTGAAACCATTGTAAGCAGGGGTATCCTTCTTTTAAGTAAAATTTGAGAGGCAGGAGTTTGCCAGGTGTTTTGGAGAAGAACATGATTAAAATAAAAGTTCATTCAAAATTCAAAAAAAAAAAAAAAACAGTAGTAGTAACAAGAGTGATAATAATAAAAAAAGAATAACATTAAATCCTTACTATGGGCCAGGCACTGTACTTTACATGTATAATTCATTAATCCTCATAACAGCCATATGAATTAAATATTTTTTTCATTTTATAGTGGAATCTGCTGTTAGTCACTCTGATTATTATTCTGGCAATTTTTCTCATGTTGTGATCAGTCTAATGCTTACCAAGTAACAATGTCTCTGAGGTGATTTTCTTTTAGTCTAACTTTGATTTAGTTATTGTAATCATCCCATCAGTTTAAAGCCTTGGGAATTCCAAAATTTATTCCAAACACTTATTCACTTTCTCCCCCCCTTAAAAAAAATTAACTTGAACCAAACAATGATCATTATCCACCTACCTACAAAAACGTGTTGCCTGAGACATCTGGGTCAACATCATTTTCTGTTTGGAGCTGGGAATTTTCTAATCCAATGTCTTCCTACTCTGCCTCCTTACTCCCACCCATTCACTAATAAAATAAATTCGTATTAACCAGGACACTTAGAGTGAAAGGGGCACTATTAATAATTATACAAGTGAAAGGGGCACTATTAATAATTATACCAGGACAACCAAAATAAACTGGGGCTGTTTTGGGGAAACCAGAATGTACAATCACCGTGCTCATAGTGCTTCATCTTTTACTCCACATCTGTTCTCAGTTCTACTGTTTTCTACAAGTATATTGTTTTCTACCATTACTCTTCTGACCTAAACAAAACTTTGGAATCTAAAGAGTCTAAGGCCTACACATAATTGTTTTGAGGTACAAGAAGTCACATATTTTTTCATAATAATCTCCAATAACAGTGTTACCTCTTCTCCACCCTATATTGGTGAATCTGCTTTTTAAAAGGTATATAAATTACTTTGGTAGTATTTCTGTTAATGTATTAGGGTAGTATTTGAATATGAGAAAAACTCCACTTCCCCCTTTCTCCCATACACAAACAGAAAGTCCCCTTTCCTTTTACTAGAGTACTGACTACAATTTGAAAATAGAGGTTACATAGTCTAGAAAAGCTAATGGGATTGAAATCCTCTGGACTAGTACTCTCCACAGTAAAATGCCATAGGTTGGGTTCAAGACAGTCCATTGGAGTGTGTGAATATAACATTAAGATTTGTATTAAGTGTATCTAAATAGAAGAAAAATTAAGTTTCAGTAATATTAATGAGGACTGACACTGGCATTCTCACCTACATGTCATGATAATATGCAGTATTAGCTAAGGGAAAACTGGGAGTTTGACAGCACAGAAGGGTTAACTTCATTAGTTTGTTTGCTTTTCATTTATTGCAATATACTGAAGTTTATTATGTGCCCGGTTAAATGGATTTTTGGATTTCATTATCTAGCTTTAGCTAAACTACTAGCACAAAGTAGATAACAGACTTAAAAAGAATCCTGTGAAGAAATCAGATTGAAAATAATACCAGTAATGCAAAGGCAAACAAGAAAATGGAAGAGCTAACACATCTCCTATATAAGCTTTTTGTAAGTTATAAAAATTAATGATTAAAAAAGTCAAATCATATATGACAGTCATGCAAAAAATTAGAAATTATGAAAAAGCTGTTTGAAATACAGCTCTACAGTTTAGTCTAAAATATCATTTATTTCATCTTTATCCCATCCTTTTAACTTCATGTTTTTTAATGTACATAATACAAGTAAATATAAATTTACAAATAAACAAACACATATTAGGGTTGCTCTTGAGCAAAGCAATTTGGATTTAAATAACCATACTGCTACCCAGGGGAATGTAGCCTTTCCATCAGAATAACCAGCCTGATCTAGAGCACAGTATTTAACATTACTCAATTGTTAAAATGGATGAACTGAATTCAGAATTTGCTTCAAGCTGAAGCCTCACAGAACTTTATCACCAGAGTTGCTAGCAAGTACCAGAATTTCTTCTTTTCTGCTCAGTTCAATATGTTGTCCCTGCTCACTAACACTAATAAGCACAGAAACACTTAAAGTAGGCAATAGATAAGGAAAAGCAGAAGATTAATAATGAGGTTATCAGTTTTTAGAAAACTGAATTTTGTTTAACTGCCTTTGAAATTATGTATTGGTCAACCAACAAAAACTGGTTGCCGCTGGGCGAGTTTATACTCAAGCTGTAAATAATTAGCATAGAAATACCACAAAGGAAAAAGAACAGCATTTTACAACGAAATGTAGTATTACTCAGAAATGTCATATTAATTTAGTAACAGATAGACTATATCTTACTTTTGAGATTGACTTTTTATGTACCAGCCAATTCCCTTAAGTAGTCTCATGCTATGAAATTTATGAAAATTAAAGCTAAATTGTTTGAAAGGAGTACCATTATGTATGTCTAGTTTATTTATTGCTAAAACAAGATGAGAGACATTTTCCCATTTGTTTTTGCTCAAATAACTGGACTGAATGAAATTCTCAAGGTGGAAGATACAAGCTTAAGTTGATGATCATAAGTTAAAAATGGTATTTGTAACAGTAGTTGAAAAAGTAAAACATGAATAAAGTTAAATTTAGAAAATGCTCTCATGTGAAAATGATTACATTTGATCCTCGTGATTTTTTTTTTTTATTGTGCTTTAGGTGAAAGTTTACAGCTCAAGTTAATTCCCCATAACAAAAATTTATACACATACTGTTTTGTGACATTAGTTGAAATCTCCACAATGTGACATCACGCTCCCCCTTTCCACCCAGGTTCCCTATGTCCATTCAAACAGTTCCTGTCCCTTCCTGCCCTTTCATCCTGCTTTTGGACAGGAACTGCCCATTTGGTCTCATATATCTGAACTAAGAAGCACATTCCTCTACGTGTATTTTTTTTTTATTTTTATTTTTAATAGTCCTGTCTGTCTGTGTCTGAAGAGTGGGTTTTGGGAATGGTTTCAGTTCTGGGTTAACAGTGCATCCAGGGGCCATATTTCAAGGGTTCCTCCAGTCAGTTGGATCATTAAGTCTGGTCTTTTTACGTGAATTTGAATTCTGTTCTCCATTTTTCTCCTGCTCTGTCTGGAACTTTCTGTTGTGTTCCCTGTTAGGGTGGTCACTGGTGGTAGCTGGGCACCATCTAGTTCTTCTGGTCTCAGGCTGGTGGAGTCTCTGGTTCATGTGGTCCTTTAGTCCCTTGGGCTAATATTTTCCTTGTGTCTTTGGTTTTCTTCATACTCCTTTGTTCCAAGTGGGATGGGACCAATAGATGTATCTTAGATAGCCACTCACAAGCTTTTAAGACCCCAGATGCCACTCACCAAAGTGGTATGTAGTACATTTTCTTAACAAAATTTTATGCCAATTGACCTAGATGTCCCCTGAAACTATGGTCCCCAGGCCCCAGCCCCAGCTAATCTATCCCTCAAAGTGTTTGAATGTGTCCAGGAAACTTCTTAAGTTTTGCTTTGGTCCAGTTGTGCTGACTTCCCGTTTTAAGCTATAATTAAAAATTATAATTACAGACCAGATAGTATAATAATACATGAGAAAACTAAGACCCAGAGAAGTCAGATAACTTGCCTTGACTGAGTAACAGAACCAAGATAGTCTTCTGATTCCATATGGATACCATGCTCTTTGCTAACTTTACTGCCCCTGCCCTTAAAACCCTTAATAGAAGAGGCTGATGATAGTTGTTTATCATTGAAAAATGTCAGGAATACAGTATACCAGTGAAATCAAAGTATGCTTGGTTCGTGGTACCTGTGTTTATAATGAGGCTTCTATCTGAGACCCTATCTGAACTGAATAAGCTTTAAAATAATAAGTTCCTACGTCTTCTAGGTTTCCACAGACATGCAGCTCCAGTTACGAGAAGGCAGTTTCCACATGGTGCACATAGGATGGATTATCTGCACTTTGAGGATGATAGCCGTGGATGGTGGTTTGACATGGATATGGTGATCATCTATATTTACTCAGTGAACTGGATCATTGGATTCATTGTTTTCTGCTTTCTTTGCTATTTTTTCTTTCCGTTTTAGGAATTTTCATAATACAGTTGAACAATCATGTAAACCCTAGATGATGTAAATAACAATTACTTAAACATTTTTTAAATGTGTTTTGAAGTTTTTATAATATTTCCTTGTATAAATTGTTGGTGTTTATAGAAAGCCTGGGAATAATTGAATTATTTATTGATGTTTTTCATGTAACAAACTAAACTTTATTCAAGAGCTAATCTATCTAGCACTTAGCAGCAATGCACTATTAATTTCATAAATTCTTGGTTTAGGATTTGGGCTCCAGTTTTACAATGTTACTTTAATACTTTATTGTAAAGATTGAGGCTTTTTCTCCATTTAAAAAAGAGTGAAAAATACAAAATGAAATGACAATCTGGGTAGATAGAATCTTTATTGATAAAATATTTCATCAATCACCACCTATTCTCAGGCAGAGTATATGTGTTAAAGATAAACCATATTCTCTGGGAACTAATCTAGCAGGGTATATTTGGCTTGTTTCCAATTATCTCTACTTGTGTTCCCTTCTATCACTAAGAAAGCGGACTGTGTGTTTTGTACAAACCTAATGACAACTTTTTTTATTATTAAAAGCAAGAGAATAGTAAATACAAAAAAAAAAAGAAATCAGTGAAGCTAACCCCCACCGATAGATACTTTAGGGAGCTATATTAACACTTGCATAATTTCAAGATTAATCACCCAAACAAGTATTTTACTGACTTTCAGTAATCTCAAGGAGCAATGCATGTCCAAAATATAATTAATTTAATAATTTGTTTAACTAGGAAATTGTCAAATATATTGTAAATGTGCAATAAAGAGTGGCTTTTAAAATCTGTTTAGTTTATTAAGTGATTTAATGTCTGAAATAAAGATTTGTTGGAACTATGCTTACAGATGAATAAAAGGAAAATCTTACATTTATTTTTATTTATAATTACAATAATCTTTGGAATTAATGTTTCTTTTATTAAAAAAAAAAAAAAAGAGGAAAACTGAATTGTCCCAATACAGGAAGGATCTGGGGCAAGTATCCCAATTTTAAAAGTGAGAAAACTGAAGCACAGAAAAGTAAGCATGTTTATTTAAGTCACTCAGGTGATCTTTATGTAACCTAGGATAAAAGTTTTGATTAGGAACTACCAGTCAAACATTCCTACAATATGATGTCATATACCCAACAACGCAAGAAGCAAATTAAGGTAGGTGAACTTACCATGGCACTACAAATACTGTCACCATTCGAACAAATTGGGATGGATCAAGCTTAAGAGTTCAGTTTATGAAAAGTCAAAATTTGGCCTACTTACTATTGACTGTATTTCAGTAAAAGCACTTGACTGATGGTATATGATGTTCTAAGAAATATGGAAAAATGATACAGATTTTTAGCCTAATACTGTCTTATGATCATATTTAAAATTATATCTGTAAAAGAAAACAATAGTGCATGTCAGACATAATCAAATCCAGAAAGGAGAAAACTACAGTTTAGAAACAGGTAAATTTATGCTCATATTTCATAATAAAATATATAAATAAATTGAGCTTGCAGTTTAATGTCATAGAAATCTTAGTGAAACGATGTTGTCACCAAAGCTCCGTATTACTTTATAGAAATAAAAATGGGTATTTATAATCACTAATTTATTGCTCAAAGTAATGATAATAGAAGGGAAAAAATATCAGCCCTCCTAAAAATATAGTATGACTGAAAAATTAACAAAATAAATATGGGAACGATTTGTAAGAGCATCCTTCTAAGGCAATTCATGGTTAATAAGCTCTAAAATTATGCCTTAATTCACTCCTAAACTACTTTAAAATTTTATTTTAATTATACATAAAGTAAAATAAAAAGTACTATATATACAGATTTCTCAGAGAAACAAAGTTCATTCTCGGTATATATTTGTTAGTCACATTGGTGATATACATCAGTTTATAGCTCTGTGTCTATAAACTAAATACATTTATATAATATAAATGTTATATATGTTTATATAAATATATATATATACATATCTTTTAAATATATATGTGTGGGTATATATATCCCTTAGGAGTCCTTGGGTGGCACAGTTAAGCACTCAACTAGTAACCGTCTGACAGTTTGAACCTATTCAGAGGCACCTTGGAAGAAAGTCTTGGTGATTTGCTTTCAAAAGGTCATAACCTTGAAAACCATATGGAACACAGTTCTACTCTACAACATGTGGGGTCGCCATGAGTCAAAATTGACTCAATGACATCTAGTCTGTTGGTCTTTTTTTGTTTATTTGATTTATATATATATATATATATGTATCCCTTAAATTAGTACCCTTAAAAGCAATGAAGTATATTCTGTAGGAGTGTTCATAATGGATTGATTATACGCATCTTCATTATATACCTTAATCTGTAAATTATGTCACTTATATTAAAATTAAAGGTAAATTTAGAAAATATAAATTATTAATTTCATTTTTAAATATTTTTAAAACCTATACAAATGGAGCTAAAAACTGCTACATCCTAGGAAGTAGTATAGCACATCATAGAGCTTGCCAGTTTATGAAAAGCCAGATAAAACCCTGAGATCAAAAAGAAACCATCAATTTTCTTCTGGCGTCTAGCACACAGTAGCATTCAATAGATGGTTGTTGAATTTATAAATAAAATACACAAATATGTTTTAGAGTAAAATATTATACCCTTCTTATTTAGTGTCTTTCACAGTATCAAGCACATAAAAACTCATTTTTCAAAGAAGAACTAAGGAAGAAAAATCCTAAAACTAGTGAAGTGCAATATTTGCCCCAAGTAATATTGTGCAATAAGTTTAATTTTCTCAGCTGTCACTAGTAATAATTTTTATTTCTACTGAGCTTAATTATGAGGCTTAATTTTTTAAATTTTCATATGGTCATAAAAACTAAAGAATGTGCCTAAATAGAGACATATTTCTGAATACTTGCAGCAGTTGATTTCTTGAATTTAAAAGCAAATTAACAAACCCAAACCAATTTATCTTATACTCAGCAGAAGCTGTTGTTAGGTGCCATTGAGTTGGTTCCAACTCATAGGGAACCTATGTACAATAGAACAAAACACCGCCTGGTCCTGCACCATTCTTAGAATCGTTATGCTTGAGCCCATTGTTGCAGCCAGTATGTTGATCCATCTCATCCAGGGTCTTCCTCTTTTTTGCTGACCCTTTGCTTTACCAAGCATGATGTCCGTCCCAGGGACTGGTCACTTTGGATAACAAGTCCAAAGTATATGACACAAAGTCTCACCATGCTCACTTCTGAGGAGCATTCTGCTATACTTCTAAGACAGTCTTCTGGCAGTCCATGGTATATTCAGTATTCTTCATCAGCACCAATTCAAATGCATCAGTTCTTCATATCCATTGTCCAGCTTTCCCATGCGTATGAGGCAATTAAAAATACCATGGCTTGAGTCAGGCAAACCTTAGCCCTCAAGGTGACATCTTTGCAGCAGATTTGCCCAATACAATATGTCGTCTGATTTCTTGACTGCAGCTTCCATGGGCATTGATTGTGAAACCCTTGACAACTTCAATACTGTCGCTGTTTACCATGATGTTGCTTATTGGTCCAGTTGTGAGGATTTTCTTTATGTTGAGGTGTAATCCATACTGAAGGCTGTAGTCTTTGGTCTTCAGTAAGTGCTTCAAGTTCTCTTCACTTTCAGCAAGCAAGGTTGTATCATCTGTATATTACAGGTTGTTAATGCTCCTTCTACCAATCCTAATGCTGCATTTTTCTTCATATAGTCCAGTTTCTCAGATTATTTGTTCAGCACACAGATTGAATAAGCATGATCAAAGGACACAAGCCTGACACACACTTTTCCTGGTTTTAAAACACACAGTATCCCCTTGTTATGTTTGAACAGCTGCCTCTTGGTCTAAGTACAAGTTCTGCATCAGCACAATTAAGGGTTCTGGAATTCCCGTTCTTTGCAGTATTATCTAATTTTTTTATGATCCACACAACATCGAATGCCTTTGCATAGTCGGTGAAACACAGGTAAACATCTTTCTGGTATTCTCTGCTTTCGGCCAAGATCCATCTGAAATCATTAATGATAACCCTTGTTCCATGTCATCTTCTGCATCTGGCTTGAATTTCTGGCAACTCCTTGTCGATGTACTGCTGCAATCATTTTTTGAATTATCTTCAGAATAATATCGCTTGTGATATTAATGATATTGTTCGATAATTTGTGCATTCCATTTGATCACATTTCTTTGGAATGGGCACGAATATGAATCACTTCCAGTCGGTTGGCCAGCTATCTGTCTCCCAAATTTCTTGGCATAGATGAGTGAGCGATTCCAGCATTGCATCCATTTGTTGAAACATTTTAATTGGTATCCGTCAATTCCTGCAGCCTTATTTTTTTGCCAGTGCCTTCAGTGCAGCATGGACTACTTCTTCAATACAGTTGGTTCTTGATCATATGCTACCTTCTGAAAAGGTTCCTTTTTGTTACAGTGACTGTGTATTCCTTCCATGTTTTGATGCTTCCTGTGTGGTTCAATATTTTCCCCATAGAATCCTTCAGTATTGTAACTCGAGGCTTGAATTTTTTTCTTCAGATCTTTTAGCTTGAGAAATGCTGAATGTGTTCTTCCGTTTTTGTTTTCTAACTCAAGGTCTTTGCACATGTCATTATAACACTTTGCTCTCAAGCTGCCTTTTGAAATCTTTTGTCGGGCTCTTTTACACCATCATTTCTTCCTTTCACTTTAGCTACTCTATGTTCAAAAGCAAGATTCAGAGTCTCTTCTGACATCCATTTTGGTCTTTTTTTTTTCCTTTCCTGTCTTTTTAATGACGTTTTGCTTTCTTCATTTATGATGTCTTTGATAGCATCCCACAACTCACCTGGTCTTCAGCCATTAGTATTCAGTGCATCAAATTTATTCTTGACACAGTCTCTAAATTCAGGTGGGATAGACTCAAAGTCATACTTTGGCTTTTGTGGACTTGTTTTAATTTTCTTCAGCTTCAACTTGAACTTTGTTGTTGTTAGGTGCCATCAAGTTCGTTCTGACTCATAGCGACCCTATGTACAACAGAACAAAACACTGCTCAGTCCTGCGCCATTCTCATGATTGTTATGCTTGAGCCCATTGTTTAAGCCACTGTGTCAGTCCATCTCCCTGAAGGTCTTTCTCTTTTTCTGTGACCCTCTACCAAGCATGGTGTCGTTCTCCAGGGACTGATCCCTCCTTATAACATGTCCACAGTATGTGAGATGAAGTCTCGCCATCCTTGCTTCTAAGGAGCATTCTGGCTGTACTTCTTCAAGACGGATTTGTTTGTTCTTTTGGAAGTCCATGGTATATTCAGTATTCTTCGCCAACACCATAATTCAAAGGCAGTCGTTCAAACAGAACAAGGGGATACTATGTGGTTTAAAGTTAGGAAAGGTCTGCATGAGGGTTATATCCTTTCACCATAACTTGAACTTACATATGAACAACTGATGATCTGTTCCACAGTCGCCCCAGGCCTTGTTCTGACTGATGATATTGAGCTTCTCTGTCATCTCTTTCTACAGATGTAGTTAGTTTGAGTCCTTGTATTCCATCTGGCAAGGTCCACGTGTATAGTCACCATTTATGTTGTTTAGAAAGGGCATTTCCAATGAATAAATCATTGATCTTGCAAAATTCTATCATGTAATCTCCCATGTCGTTTCTATCACCAAGGCCACATTTTACAGCTACCAATCCTTTGTTTCCACTTTCTCATTCCAACCACCAGTAATTATCAATGCATCTTAATTGTGTATTTGGTCAATTTCAGATAGCAGAAGTTAGTAAAAAATCTTCAGTTTCTTCATCTTTGGCATTAGTGGTGCATTAATTTGAATAATAACAGAA